ACAATACGTATGGAACATGTAGGATAAGTGAAACGCGTAGGTACCATAGTCAGAGCTTCCACCGACGCCGACTTCTCCAGAGAAAATTGGCCGGCGGCAGGATTCAGCCACTGGTCATTCTGCAGTCTAGAAAAAAATTCATAATGGTTAGAAATATACGAGTAATGTCGGCTGTAATGAAACGTTCGGCTCAGAAGCTTAACTGAAATTTTACTTTTGGTAGCAGTTCTTACTGTTGAACCTCTTACTGTAGATAGAGAACTTAAAACTAGCAAAATTGAATATGGAAGAAACGTTACCCTCAAGTTCCGGTGTAGCTACGACATAGTTGCATTCAATTTCCATCGAAAATCACAAAATTTCAATTTGTGAAGCCGGATTTATTTCAGTGCAAATGCACCATGGCATGTGCATTTAAGCAAGCTACGGCCCTGTAGTGTTTGAGTATCTGCAGCGCATCAAATGCATGTCAAATCACACTTCTGAATTTGGCTGAATAAGAGCATGTTCGAGCGCTGACTATGTTTTCCACTATTCACACCCAAATGTACATAAAAGCATGAATAGGATTCCATCCAAAGAGTACACCGCAAATGTAGCATTTTAATTCCGCCGTTAATTACATTTGATCAATTCATAATTTCAGATTTATTTGGTGCTCGAAGGCACCTTTGCTCAGGGCAGCTTATTGGAGCGTTCCTGAATTTGACGCACGGCAGGTACTTATACATCATATTATATTGAATCGTCTACCTAAATGGTCTCCATAGACATCCGGAAGCAGCCAACATAGTCAATTATGAATTATGAATTGACTTGCCTTGGTGAAAGTATTGTCGTTTTAACGCCCTCTCTTTTTCTCAATGCCAAACTCATTAGAAATGTCAGGCCTAAACAAGACAAATGCTGCCGGCCAGGGGTCAAATATCCATTCATGGCCGTAAAAAATTGCTCATTCTGGTTCCAGTATGAACAGCTGTAGCTCAGAATCATTGAGGCAATGCGTGTGGGAATATAATTCATCCTGAGCCGGATGTTTTTTATTCCCCTGTTTTGCAGCGAATCATTTTTGGAAACGTTTCTTAACAAGCTATGTTTATGTATCAGTTGAGAAGTTGGACACCTGCCGACAATTTTCTGATAAATATGGCTTAACCCTGTTTTCAAAACGGATCACATTTATTTCTCAGGACACAGAATATAAAGCTATTAAATAATTTTAATCACTCACCGGTGTGCCTACATTGCTAATCGATAACTTATGCTAATGATTACCTATCAGTAATTTCTATTAAAAGTAATATCTTAAAAATAAAATCTAACCTTGAGAAAATGCTGTCTTCCGAAGCTGACTTTTTTTGCAGCGAAAGAGTGGCCATTTCATCGTGTACAGCGTCCAGGTGGTCCTTCAACAAAAGCGAAGTGCAATTTATTACAGTGATAATTGGTAAAGAATGATTATTTTCTAAATTTAGTCACTAAGGGCACGATGCCACGGTGTGTGCATTTCGCTTGTGCTTGTACACCATTACAAATGATTTCTGAGCGCAGGGGCGTAGTGTAAGGTCACGGAATGAGGCTATGAGGATAATAAATGTCCAGCTGAATTTTCGATTTGCATGCCACATGCGTTCCTTAATGAATAAGTTGCGGCGGCGACTGTCTGATGAAGCCCACAAGCGTTGTCTTTAAAACACGTTATTGTTCATTCATGGCCTTCCAGGAGAAAGGACCAGATCAGCTGTGGCATAATCCGTCTGAAAGCCAGCACGATGGGATAGGATATCTTTAACGAAAGTCTTTGACCATCTGAGACAAAACAGCTGGAGGCTTGTCCGCCATCAAAACCTGCTAGGTTGTTTTAAGTCTTGGCCAGTAACCGTTTGCGCCATCGTATTTGCTACGGTCAGAAACGCAGTCATAAGTAGTTTGCGTCGGCTTCACTTCCTGCCGGCCAGTCGATCCGCTCTCAACTGATTCAAGAAAAAGCTGACTGACAACCTGAACATCATCAGTCGTGTAGTTGACCACAGCAAGAAATGAAATAAGACTGCTGTAATTTAGGAGGTCAAGAACGTACTAGCCGGATTCTTCACTCCCTTCGGTGTATGAGTTTGGACTCAGAATAACAACCTACTAGTTTAGAAATAAAACAACGCATAAGGAGGGGTCACTCACTGTATTTAAAAGAACGGTACGAAGCCAAGTAACCGCTATAATTAACAGCAGTTTCTGCTAGGTCATCTACTGAAAGATTAATATCCGTTGCCTGGTTTTTTTCGCGATTCTTTCAGGATCTTTCTTCCGTTGCTCAGGATTAAGAACTTTCTCAAAATGGCTCTCCATCCCATCGAATTATATCCTCATCCTAGATAACAAGGCATCCACATTTTTCCCTCATGACGCTGTTAAATCGATAAATACTCATTAAAAGTAAACAACAGCTGTCTTCGTTACTTTCTAGAGAATTAAAATTAAAATTTTTCACCTGTTTTGTGCGATGCCTTCCCTTCAAGACCGAATTTGCTGATCCACTGCATCGCCGATTACCTTAACACAAGTTTTTAGCACATATCACTGTAAGAACGTGTATATTAGTTTCACATCCGTTTCACAATTTTAACGAATTGAGCAATACTTGGAGTTAAACATTTGTGAGGTAGTTCATTGCCCTTAAATGTTCACTGAGGAACCACTCCTTCTATATTTGAATTTTGCAATTCGTCGACCAGACCAGCCGATTAGTGCCAATAGCCATGTTTGTTGTTCGATCTACCTATCATCTGCCTACCTATCTTTCGGTGTATCTATCTATTATTTAATGACCCACTTATCTCTCTATCGATCCATCCATTTTTTATCATCCATCTATTTTTACTCGTAATATGGATTATGCAAAGCCCACAGAGTACATAAATCAATGGTCGAATTGCCCTTGCATTCCTCAGATTTCAAAGAAGCCGCGTTAGCTTTTGAACCCTCGGAATAGCCGAGGTAGAGATCATGTAGCGAATAATTGTGCTGTTCTCTAAAGGGCTAATCGCAATTCCTGTAGCTGGAAGAGACTGGTCAAGAAACACATACACAGTACATGTGAAATGTTATAATAAATAAAGCCAGTGTAAATGAAATGTTTCCCCTAAGTCTTCTCATTAAACCGAAGCAATGAAGTGGAAGTCAGTGAAAAGTTTGAAAGACTATTCAAGCTCGGATCCAATTCTCATTCACCAATTGGAGTTACACTTGAAACGCACAGAAGAGGAATATGAATTTCAATACGTACCGTTATGAATATCACGCAAACGTTTTGGTTCTTCATCCCGCGAGGCTCTACGGTATGAAGATCTGTCAGCTTCGATCTGAAAAACAAATTAATAGAGCAAGTAACAAGTTGTAAACGACGTATGAACCATTATCATTTTTAAACAGAATTTTTCAGATTTAGACTCACTCCCCCAAGGTTCTCCGCTGTGTTCCTCCATTTCTGAGGCATGTTCCTATACTTATCACAATCTCAAAGAAATGAAATGAAAGGTACGTTTACCCAACCGGTAACTGAATCCACAATCTTACGACTGCGAGTCCGACGTAATGCCTGCTCATCTGCTTTTATGATGTGCTATTACACGTTAGGGAAGGATACGTTGTAAAGTAACCGGTCTATGAACTATCTACTCCTTTCCTAACACATTGCACCAGTGCTAAATTTACAACAATCATATTTCCTGAGCAATATTAAGAAGCTTCATCTATGACGGATGATATGAAACTCTTCGACATGGGTCCATGGTTGGTTCATCTGATCAGGAGTGCGACGACTTCTCATGGCTGATGTGTGCCATGCCGTCTACTCTCTTGACAAATACAGGGTTCGAATCGATTTCCCTCACTAAATGCTGTGTCACGTGAAAATGCCCAGAAAGTCGCACAAGAGTATCATGCTGAGAAAAATGACTGAAATCTGTTGTCCGTAGTTGCAACGTCAGCCGAGAACAACTGTCCCTAATCTGCTGACCTGCGAGGCAAATATGCTCAGCGTTACAAAAGTATTCTGATAAATCACTGCAGAAGCATAAGTTTCTTCATACAAATGCAGATGCAAGAACGGAGGTCATTGCCTACTTATTGTGCTGGATTAAAGGGAATATGCAGATGGCATTTAATAGATGTCATATGCATATGGAGAGATATTGACCATGTGATCAGACATGCGGGAAGAACCGTACGAAACAATACCTGTTACAGAAATAGCACTTAGACGGTCCTAGATGAAAGGAATAGTCTGAGGGTAAAGTTGACGCTGAAACTGCCGACATTTCAGCCTACAATTTGTGATGTGACGTTTATTAAGGAAGACGTCTTAAAAATTGATGAGTTTAGAAATCACTTTCATTATCATAACTTATGGCGATAGTTTTAAAAACTTGCGTGTTCAGCCACAGTACTGCGTTTAGAACATGTGCTTCGATATTGTAGCATTTCTGGCATGATGTCGTCTTGCTGAAGTCATGCGCTATTTTAATAGGACATATTTGATGTGCATATGGTAGAGTAGAAGGAATGCTAGTTTCTTGCAATGACGTTCGCAATGATGCGATATGCATCTGACACTGTAGGAGGTTTAAATACCTCATAACCGTGACTGGCTCGGTATAAGAGTAAATGCAAATACGCAGTGAAATCTGCTCTCAGAGCGGTTGATGATTTATTGACTGACACGTTACGTGTATAGCATTTGAATAGGATTAATCGGTTTCGATTTGCAATTCATAGAATTCAAAGAATTTGTGCCAATCTCGGAAGAGAAACCACACATACATGCGCTACGACACGCGAAATGACATGAGGAATTTCCTCGCCGCTAATATTATCATTATAATAACTGCAGGGTGTATGCTCTTTCGTTGGATGCTTGTTTTCCAGAGAAATCAAATGTAATTCATAATCAGAAGTATTGACAAAAGCGTAATTAAAACTAATCTTGAAGTATTGAACAAGGGCTAATTATGGTGAATAGAGAAAGAGGTAAGCACTGAGGTTCTTAGTAAATAGGCGCAATTTTCCCGTGCTCAAGCGAAAAATTACACCTCTTCTTAATTTCTGAAATCCTATTGCAAAGGTTTCTGTAACTCAAAGTGCACAGCTTTCACGGCTATATTTATACATTTGCCTGAATCAGCAGATCAGGTGAAATACTAGAGGACAGTCCTGAGAGCCAACCTCTGCACCACTGGATTGTGTCCATAGCTAATTTAGTTTTCAACGCTGTTAATCCCATCAAGGTGCAAAAATAGTTTACGATTAGCATACATGACTGCAAGACTAGTGAATTGTCATTGACTAATCTGCCAGAATGTATAAAACTAATTTGCCTCGCATTTCAAACAGATGATGTGTGGTTTCTACCGCATGAATGCCTAAACCTCAACCTACACCAAAAGTACAGTTTAAACTTAGCACGCAGGTGACAGTCCTGAAGCTTAATAATAAT